TACTTTAACTAATGTACAGCAAAATCATCGATTTTAAATATATCGAGCAAAAAATAAATGAAGAAAGAAAAAATAGAACGAATTAACTATTTCTTCAAAATGAACAAAAATCGAAAGAAGCTCCGAGAAATATCATGTTCAAAATAATTCATTTTTGATAAAGTGCCAGTCATTTTTAAGGAAGGTGCCATAAAGTTACTGATGGCAATAACTTTTGGCATTGAAAATTAATCCCCCTCAAAAGTGCAAAAATAACGAAAAAACACCTCGTATCAGTAAATTTTAAAATGAATTTTGTACCTAATTTCATGAAAAAATGAATTTTCAATAAAAGGAAAACAAATGTGAAAGAAATGCTTGCGTTTTTTTTTTCATCCTAGATTAAATTGCTTTAAGTTTGAATTAAGGAAATATGTTTAATGAAATTTGCTGAATGTTTAATGAAATTTGCTGAATGTTTAATGAAATATGTTATATGTTTAATGAAATTCGAATATAAGCTGAAATGAAATTCGATTTAAAATATTAAATATTTTTGATACTCAGATGGTAATTTTTTGAAAGAATAACACTAATAATAACTGAGTAAATGATAAAATAAAGCTCAAATATTTAAATATACCTTATCTTCAGAAAAGAGAAATTCTCATTGAAGGAAAATAACATTTTGAGAAATACTCGCGTTTATTTATTTATTTATTATTATTTTAATTAAATTTCCTTACATTTGAATTAGGAGAGTAATTTTGGTGTAATGTCAGTTGAAGTAAAAGTCGACTTAAAATATTAAATATTTTACATATTCAGTTAGTAATTTTTTAAATAAAAATAATAATAGTAACATAAAAATGATAAAATGTAGTTCCCATTTTAATAACACATACTGATGTGATGGTTAAAAAATAATGGAATAAAATTCTGAAAATTGAGATTCAAAAAATTTAATGTAGAGATTGTTATTATCATTATATTATGAATATGGCATTACAGTAATCTATTCTTAAAACAAGCACAAAAAAGTAAATAAGTCAATTAAAATACTTTTAAATTAATTCAGCCCACCACAGAACAAATCGCAAAAAAAAAAAAATATGAAACTAAATAAAAAGTTTATTGGGATAATTATTCAAAAGTTATTGATTTCCAAGTTGAAGAGTTTTACATTCAAGAAAATGTTTCCATCACTAATTTCATATATTTTTCTTTTATTTAATTCCATAAAATCAACATGTTGGAAATATACTGTACATTCATCAGCATTTAAAAAAAATATTAAATTACGTTTAAATATTGTATTAAACTATTCACTTTTATAAAATTAATTATTATACTATTATCTTCTTATTACCAAATATATTAAACAATTTCAAATAAATTAACAAATATTTTAGTATTTNATATATAATTTCAAATAATGTGCAAGTTATTACAGGGGATCTTGCCTATATAGAATAATGCTCCCCAAAAATAACTAGTATTGATACTGTATCTTACCCCATACCATTCTGATTAATTTATTCTTTACTCGACTTCCCTGTCTTCACAAACAACCAATAGTGACTGAGTTCTATGTAGTAATTTGAATTAAAAGTCCTCTCTGTATTATATTATGTGGTTATCGTATTATAGATAGATATATTATCATGTGTTAGTTGACAAAATTATATGAATTATCAGTTAAGAACATCAAAATTTCTGCATCCAAACTTATTCCAACTTTTACAAGATGAACAAATATTGGGACAAATTATGTTTATTTAATGAATTGTTGTAAATCAACAAATATTGGGAAAAATGTATTGATTTAATATTTTGTACAAAAGTAATCATAACCACAATCAGCAATATTAAAATAAAAATTTAATAAAATGATAAATTTTACTTATGTTATTAATTAAATGTATCAAAAGTAAACCTTACAAGATGAACAAATATTAGAATATACGTTATGTTTATTTAATGCTTTGTAATAAATCAACAAATATAGAGACAAAATTTGCGGTGTAGCTTGTTTCCTACTAAATAAACCTTTTTTGAAAAAAAATTTATTTATATCTTATTAAATTTATTTATTTATTTATTTATTATTATTATGGAAAATCTTTGTCTCTTCCTTCAAATTAACACTCACTTTTTAATATAAAGTAAGTTTCAAACGATTACCTCCTTTCAAAAAATTATAATATATATGCTATCAGAATTGTAATATTAAAATTATTATACATATGATCTAGTGATATATATGCTATCAGTTCAGCTCGTTTCTGACTGAAGAATCCTTTTTTCTGTTCATATTTCTTGGCACATTTTTGTATTTTCTTTCAGATTGACGCTCATTTTTTAATATAAAACAAGTTTCAAACGATTTCCTCATTGCAAAACATTATTTAAAAAAATCGCAAACTATCCACCTCTATGTTAGCGATATATATGCTATGATTGTAATATTTTTTTTTTAAATTTCTACTTGTATTTCTTGGCATATTGCAATTTCCATCTAACAGACACTCACTTTTTAATATAAAATAAGTTTCAAACGATTACCTACATGCAAAAAATTATAAAAAAATTCACAAATTGTCCGCCTCTATGTTAGTACTTCATATACTATCAGTTTCGATAGGCTCGGACTAAGAAAACCTTTTTTAAAAAAATTTTGTATATTTTTTATTGGCATATTTTTGTATTTTCACTTAAATTTACTCTCACTTTTTACTACAAAACAAGTTTCAGAGGATTTCCACATGACCAAAAATTCACAAACTGTCAGTCTCTATGTTAGCCTTATATATATGCTGGCACAGTAGCTTGTTTAGAACTAAACAAAACTTTTTTTTGCTAAAAATTCATTTATATTTATTGGTATATCTTTGTATTTAATTTTAGAAATGACTCTCACTTTTTTTGTATAAAATAAGTTTTTAATGATTTCCTCATTGAAAAATATTATAAGAAATTCGCAAACTGTCAGTCTCTGTCTTAGCGATATATATGCATTCAGTGTAGTTTGTTTCGGACTGAACGATCCATTTTTTTAAAAAATTTATCTACATTTTCTTGGCATATTTTAGTATTTTCTTTCAAATCGACACTCACTTTTTAATATAAAACAGTTTCAAATGATTTCCACATAGCAAAAAATTATAAAAAATTCGCCTTTTTACAAGCGATAAATTTGCTCTCAGTATAGCTTTCTTCGCACTAAACAATCCTTTTTTTAAGAGTTTTGTCTATATTTCTTGGCATATTTTTGTATTTTCTTTCAAATTGGCTCCCATTCTTTTGAAATATAAAGCAAGTTTCAAAGGATTTGCAAAAAATTAGCAAATCGTCCGCCTCTATATTAGTGGCCCACAGTTGTTTCAGTTTTTTTAACTGTTTCTGAATACATCTTAGTATTTTTGACTTTTTAACATAAAATAAGTTCGATGCCAAATAATTATAAAAAATTTGCACTCTATCATATGCACACGTATTTTCTTTCAAATCGACACTCTTTTTTTTTAGTATAAAACTAGTCTTTTTCCTCTATAGAAAAATGTAAAAAAAGAAAACTGTGAACTGTCCGCCTCTTTTCTGCTAATATATAATAAGGGTTTACCGGAAATTCTGTTTTCCAAAATTATAGTTCTTATTACCACGCATTTAGTTTGAAGTACAATACTGAAAAGCAAATTTAACCGAATTAATGGTTTATACGCCATTCTCATATCAAATTTATAATATTTATAAAATTTTATCACATATTTTAATATTAATTTTACCAAAATCATTACGAAAGTGCTTCAGTAAAAAATACCGAGCTTTATGGTCTTTTTATAGAGCCAGAAACATGGTAAATCTTAATTCTGGTAGTTTTGAAATTACTTTTTCTCTGTGTGGAGAAGAATGAAACAAAAATATTTTTATGTTAAATGATAAATTTTGTTTAAATGGATTTTAATCATTAAGTCTAATTATTTGTTAAGATATCAATTGCTGTGCGAAATCTCTTTCTTTTCTTTATTATTAGGTCATAACGGTCAAATAGATGTCTTAATAATTTAAATAAATCAGTCCTTCCGTTTATTTAGAAGAAGACACAGTCTTTGAAAGTAACTGACATACCTAAAATGAGTTTTTACTCATAAAAAGAAGGAAAAAAATTATTTAAAACTTCAATTCGTAAAGGAAAGCGTCAATTTGAATCAGGTTAAAACTTACATCAGAGTTCCATGAAAGATCATAACCTTTAAAATTGGGTCATAGCCATGAAAATTAGCTAAAAATCCAAAATAGAATAACTTTAATTTATTGACAGTTGTTCTAAATATATTCTTTAGAAAATTATCAAACGTCGATTTGCTTGACTTAATGAGTTTTTCCCCGCACGAAACATAATTTGTCTAAATATTTCACTCAGAAGTTTGATTATCTTTAGAGTAAGTTTTTAATTTATTTGGGAAGTTGCAGAGTTGTCGTTGATCGCTTTTTCATTGATTGTAAAATATAACGTAATACTTTACTTCTTTTTTGTGAATAAAAAATGGTCACTTTGAATCTCTCTTATTAATTATAATTTATTTTCAGTAAAACTGATATTTTTTTATGCCGAAAAATTATATTTTGTAAAGATACACTTTTAGATATACTGAATTTATTGCAAAATCAACCTGAGTTTCATTTTTTCTGCTTGCAAGAACTTTATAAGAAAATGGTGGAAAATTAAATGCTATCATTTATCTTAATCTTATTTTGTCGAATGAAAATCAATTCTATTTTATTGACTGAGTATAATTTCATTCAAATTTAATCATAAATCAATAATCAAATAACTAAGAAAATTTTTCTAAAAACCATTAAATATAATATTATAATAAGAACACTACTGCATAATTAAACTTTCTCCTCAAATAAGCACAAATATAGCATGACGTTAACAAAGAGTATATGCACAATAAATGATAAATACGAAGATAATTTTTCATAAAAATAAAGAAACACTATGTAAAATTTTATACCTAAAGTTTCGTTTTCCAATCCATATATATATTTCCTTAATATAAGGGTTGTTACTAAGCAAGAGTTCAGTTGTATGTTCTTTTAAGTATCTCCAAAGCTGTGAGAAATGAAATTTCAATAAAATGAAAAACTAAATAAAGGTTTTAAAATTTTAAAATTGAGAAAAAGAGAGAATAATGAAAATATATCAAAATAAATAGATCAACAATTTGTTAACCGGACTTAGTAAATAAACTTATGACGAAAATCAAAACAATATTTTTCGATAGCTTTTATGCGTGTAAATTAAACCCTTTAATTACAATTAAAATAACTCCACTTTCTGCTAACAGGACCAGTTCTATTACTTGATTTTAAATGTTTTCACAAAAATAAAAATATTTCTCTTTAAATACTTTAATACTAAAAGTTTTGTTTTATTTTTAATACATATAAAATCGTCGTTTAAAATAAATTTTAAAAGTCAGTTAGTACAATAATTCAGAAACATGTTCTTAATTAAACGCTGGAAAAATCCAACAAAAATATTGAAATGATAAGTAACAAAAAAAAAATAAGAAAAGTAAAAGAAAAAAAGAAAACAGTTTACACGTAATTCTTTTATGGTTATTTTCTTAAATTCTTCCTGTCACGATGTTTGATTCTAACAGAAATTACTTTTTTTAAGGAAATTTAGTTACATTGCTTAGTTATTTATTTGTAAATTAAATGAAATAGGTTTAAAATATTCTTTATACATATAATTAAAATTGTGAAAACCTTCTCATAATGTTTTAAAAAAATTTGTCATCGCATGTAAACGTCAATTTTAAAGAAAAACATATATAAAAATTGCAATTCGGTTACACTTATTGCTTTTATAGTGTGAAACAATGTTATTAATATCAAATCAGGTACTATACTTTATACTACCTGTTTTCATTAATAGGTCATAATCATAATTACTTTTTTTTTTTTAATTAATAATACATTCCTCTTACAATATGGGCAAAATATAGTAATAATAGTCATGACAAGATTTATACATCTTACTCGTGTATATTTTATATTTCATCTGATCGTGCATATTTAATCTGACACCTAACAAGAATTAAATCATATTACAGTTTATATAAGGAAATAAATTATATAAAATAAATTAAAGTTTCACTACACAATATTTTTTTCTAAAAAAACTTTTAAAAATTTAAATTAAGCAAGATATATGCATCTCAAATTAAAAAGGACAATTCACCTTGAAAAGAGACTATTATTTTGACACAATACAATTTTTTTTGGTTGCCATTTATGTGTTTACACTTATGTATCAAGTTTCATAAAAATAATATTGAAACTTGATGGAGATATTTATAAACATGCTATTTTAGTTACATGCAATTCAAAATGCTCCTAACCCTATTTTCTTTTTTTAATTGATAATGATTTTTTCAAATATTGGTCCTAAAAGTAAAAAAATTAGCGCAAATTACTGATCTTTAGTTTTTGCAATTCTCGGTTACTTACATGATTTAGAACAAATGATGCCTTGAAATATTTTCAAAAAATACACATTGTTAACAAAAAAAAAAAAAAAAAAAAAAAACGCAACTACAACCGTAAAGATTTTTTGAGATCTCTGAAAGTTCGTTTCTTCTTTTTTTCTTTTTCTTCTCCTTTTTTTCCTTATTGTTCTATCCAAGTATCGTTTTATTCTTTTTTCTTTCGAAGGAGTGAGCTATTTTTTCCTCTGGTATATTTTGCGAATTATTACAGCGAGATTATCCGCCTTTGGAGCATTCCTTTAACTGACAAAAGAAAAATTCCCTCTTCATTCCAAATTCTAATTGTATCCCTACATTTAAAATAAAAATAATTTCACATAAAACACTCCAATTGATATTCCTTTTTGGAGGATTTTTCTATCCGTAATTGATCATCAAAATCAATAATGATTACACCAAATGTCAATACACCATTTATAAAGCGTAACGGTTGATATCATCCTTCATCGTTTATTTCACTTTCGATATAAAATATCCTTAGGTCAGATTTATCTTCAGTCTGCCAATCGCTGACGGGATCGTAAATTATATCCAATAACAAAGGTGAATCTCTGGCAGGAAAGGATCAAATATTGCAGATTTACGATCTCCTGTTATCAGAAACATGTGTTAGTGCACATTTGTACCTTATCAAAAGTTTCTTGAAGCGGAAAGGTATACCTTGTGTCCTTATCTATAGCATACACACACTACTGGCTATGGCAACCCCACTGGCTAGATTTATTAATTCATATGCGATCAGATATAGCACGCTCCCACATTCGTCAGTATTTATCCTGGATTATATTGTAGGGGATGATTGTGTACGCCTGTATCATGACATGGGGAAAGGATTAAAAATATTCGAATCTGTACTTGGAAAAGATGCTATAAAAAATTAGAAGATTAAAAAAAAAAAAAAAAAACTATGCATAAATTTTAAGCAGGCAAAAGCAATTTTAAATTAGAAACTAAGAATAGGTAAATAACCAGTTAATAAAAATCAGTAAGGACGCTAAATAGGAATCATAGACATGTTACTTTTTTATACGTAATTACGCATAATAGCGGATTTTGGCTAACTTTTTAATTTATTTGTGAAATTAAATGAAATTAGTTTCCAGATGTTAATGTAAATAGCCAAAATGAAATTTTGTATCGGTTTCCCTTATAAAGAAAGAATCCTAAACAACGGATGCTCCAAGAAATTTTGTATATTTATTAATAATTATGCACAACATTCAGCAACGTAAGAGGGAATCACGGGTAGAAAAGCTTAAAAAAAAATTTAAAAAATGCCCCGGAAAATTTTTTTTTTTATTTACTGTTACATAAATTTTCCGTCCGATTTGATTCGGTCAGTGAAACCCAAATTTTATATGATAAAATAGACTATGTGATTAAATCAAAAACTATGTATATTTATAGTAAAAAGCCAAAATACGTTATTATGCGTAATTACAGGTAAAAGAGATAGTTATCTATGATCTTTTATTTCGCGTCCTTACTCATTGTTGATTTTAGTTTATAGTCACTTCTTAAAAAAATAGCAGTTTATCATTTGTATATTATGACACAAAGCAATAAGTGTATATTATAATAATAAGTTGTATATTATAATACAAATTTTGTAACTGCTTAAGAGCCCCAATAATTTTTTTGAACAGTATAGTTTTTTTCCGTAAACTTTCTATCTAATTTCATTCGAATACTAAAAAATATCTAATTTAATTCGAATAAATGCTTAATTATATTAAATTCTGCCTAGGTCAAAATTGAATCAGTTGTTAAATTTATATAATTATTAATGAGGTAATTTTTTTTTTTAAATATTTTTACGAAGCTTATTTTTTGGAGGGGGGGGCTTTTTTTTCGTCTACCAGTAAGAGGTCTTTTAATAAATTAAAAAAGCATAAAGCTAAAACAATCAATGTGAGAATTTTTTTGGAGCAAGGGATTATTTTTTGGGGAAAAAAAAGAAGAAAAAAACGATGTAAGTTTTAATTTTCTATGAAAACTGTTTAGTGATTAATAAATAATATTAATTAACTAACGGAAAATAGTTGTCATGGTTTGTTTTTTGAACTTCCGTTAAATACATTAATCTTGTTAGTCTTGCAATCTTTATTAGTTATGATTGTGCTTGTGAATACATAAGAAGTTGAGGATTATATCAAGAGTTTTGAACTTCGCGGACGTTTTAAGAATAAAAAGTTGAGTGTTTTTCCAATTCTTAGAAATTTTAACCGCATTGTTTCTGAACCCAAAGCTTTTGGTAATTATTTAAACTAGAGTTATTTGTTTAATAAATGCTTTTCCTTAATTTTATTTCAAAGTTATAAACTCAAAAAACTCAAGAGATATATATTTGTATTTTTAGTTTAAAAAAAAACAAACAGTAAAAGTGATGTCAGTAAAAATAATCAGGCTGTATTTATATTAATGATTCACTTGTAAAAAGAAGCTTTAATAATAATAATAAATGCAACACTAAAGATTGTTGCAGATCTATAATTTAACTCAATCTTTAAATTGAGATAATAATATTCTCAAATCAAAATAAAAATGATAGTTTAGTAAGATTAATTAGAAAAAAATTTATTTATTATAGATAATTAAAGTTCTAAATTGTAGGCCAAATAGGATGCGCTAACTTTATTGAAGAACTAAATCATACTCTCCATTATTCATTAGTAAAAGAAAGGTAAACATGATAATACTAGCAACAATTTGGAACAAATTCCTACGGCTGGACAAAAACACAATTCTGGTTAATGAAACCAAAATATTAAACCCTTCATTTGGGGATTTTTCCGTTTACTGGAAATTAATTTTTGTTTTCAAAAATTATAGTTTTCATTACCCCACATTTAGCAAAATGTAATTTTCCACATTAAATAATTTTTGACCGAGTTAATGGTTTTTATGCCATGCTCTGAAGTATCATGATAAAATTATCAATTTTTGAAACATTTGCCGAATTTTATCACATTTCCGAAAAGCATATTTTGAGGTTAATTTTAATGAAATCATTATCAAAGCACTTCAGTAAAAACTACCCAACTTTTTGGTGTTCCCATAGAGCCAGAGACGTAGTAAAATTTACCATATTCTGGTAGTTTCGACTATATTTTTTTCCCCTCTAAGTGTAAATGGATATTTAGTTCTAAAATTTTTGCTCCATAAAACCGGATAAAATGCATGAAATAAGGAATAGACTATAATAGTAAGAAATAAAACTCTTTCAATTATTTAAAATTTTTCCAAATAGTTATGTTATAATAAAAGCTCTTATGGTTTTGTTACGAAAAGGGGAAGAGTGACTGTTACATTATAAAAAAAATAATAATATTTGGTTATAACCGACTTCCAGATCAGAATTAAGTCATTGATATTTCGTTGATTTCCGGATGTTCACCGCTCAATAATAATTGGTTTACTTTACTGCATATGTTATGATAGCAGAACTGATTGCAGAACCATGCAATAGCAATCCATGTTCCTAGAAAACTCCCCCATCCCGAGTCTCTTTTGTTATATCCCCTGCATCGTTTACAAATGTCACCCCACAATAAAGAGGGAAGTCTGAATGATTAGGGTTGCTATAATAAAAATACCAAAAAATGGTTAAACAATTTCGCCAAGTGTCCCCCAATGATGTTTTAGGGTCTTATTATGCAATAAACCTATGCAATGTTTTGCTATAAGTACGTGATATTATCATTTAAAATCATGCTATGGAAAGAAGCAGAAAATTTTGATCCCAGTTTCGTACAAAAAGTCAGTGGGAACTAATATTATTAATTCTGCCTAATGTTTCGGCAACTTTGAAAGACATCAAAACAAGATATTCATTTTTTATCAAAAATTTTAGTTTTATTTTTTCTAAGAAAGGTTTTGTTTAGACTTCTTAAGCGGGCGAAATATTTATCGCGTTTTAATTACTCTTGTCTCGTTTTAATGAGTGGAATAATCTTATATTTTGCTGCATTTGCTGATAACAAAGACGCAAAACATTAAAAATTTAAACACATGAAAAATTGATCAGATGCTCATCTGGTATGAGAAAGAAAAAAATGAAATGAGAACAAAAAGTCAAAAAGAAAGTATAAATAAAATATGTTTTTATAATATGTGATAAAATATGGTAAATGTTGTAAAATTTTATAATTTTTTCATGATACTTTAGATAAGCATAAAAGCCATTTATTCGATTAAATTTATGCTTCAGTTTTATATGTTTTACTAAAGGTGTGGTAAAGAGAACAATAATTTTAAAAACCCGAATTTGCGGAAAACAGTTTTAATGAAAGTTACTGAACCAAGAAAAAAATATTAATTATATTTAACCTCACAACACGAAGCAAGTTGATGTCTCCGCATAGGGTTTTCTCAGGCCTTAAAAAAATTAATAGTGGTGGAAAATTTATGTTAAAGGTACAAGGAATTTCGTTAATATAACACTTTAACATTTAAACTCTTTAATATTATTTTTAAACAAATATATTTTATTTTATAATCGTCGTTAAGCAGCCGACCGAATTTTGGGTTTACGACTGCTAATATCCACCTCCGTAGCCTTGTAATTTTGAACCCAATCCAGAAGACAAGGGAACTTCTGGATCAAGTATAGAGTAAAGTTTGCCTTCGTGGAAGACTTTTGATGGAACGCATTGGCGTTATATGGAGAAGAAAACCACGAAGACCTCAAGCGGTTAGTCCAACAGAAAAGAGACTCCAACCCGTGATCCTTTTATCACTGCAGATATTTTACGTCGGCTCTGTGGTCGGTGTGAGCCAGGTGCGGAATTCGTATCCATCAACCATCACTGGTATTCGAAACCAGTTCACCTCACCGGTTCACTGGGATCATAACCTGATTTACTTTTGCTCTTTGAGATCTGTCTCAAAAATATCATGCCATGGCTCACATATTTTTTTTTAATTTTTTATAACCGTCGTTGAACAGTCGACCCAATTTTTGGTACTGATGACTTTTGAACCCAATCCAGAATGCAGGGGAACTCCTGGATCAAGTATTGGGAGAAATGTGCCTTCGTGGAGGACTACTTGATGAAACTAACCTGCATTTACGTTACATGGAGAGGAAGACCACGAGAACCTCCCACAGTTAGCCTGACGGCAAGGGGTCTCTAACCCACTATCTGTCTACCACTGAGGATATTTCACGTCAGCACACCCAGCTATCACCGGGATGGGATCGAACCCTGGTTCACCTTATTGGAAGGCGAAAGCTCTATCCCTTTAGCCATCGCGACTCCACATATTTTTTTCAAAATTTTCATGCAATGGTGGTCACAAATATATTAAATGATCGAAATACGACTACTCATTGTTACCATTTTTATTTAAATTTTTACAGCCGAAGGGAATGTTGCCTGACATTGAAAAGTGCATTTGAAGTTTTAGATTGGTAAAATAACCTTGTGGACAAGCGTGCTTCCAAGAACTATAATAATAAAATAATAATGCAACCAGTTATTATTTTAAAAAGAAAAATAAATAAATAAAAAGAACTATTATCCTCGAATTTGTGGATTATTGATTTTACAATTGTAAAGGGAAATTATTTAAACTGCGCAAACAATGTATTTAATGCCTCTTGTTAGTATTTACTTAATTGTAATGAGGATCGATTTTTTGTTGGATAAAATTAAACGATATTAAGGTTAAGGCATTTTGTTGCTACTTCTAAAATAAAAGTAAAATATTCCTTGAAAATCAGGAGATTCGATAACTATGTTAGCGCTCTTTATTTAATTACAGCACTTACTTACCCCCATCTAATTATATATTGTTTCATTTTACCGTTTATCTAGTAAACCCTGGGTAACTGGTTCTTCATAAAACTGGCATTTTTATTGAAGTGATAGTAACAATACGGAAAAAGAAACGCTCTAGTTTTATAGGCAGTAGCATCATGATTATGCTAAAGGAAATTTGCAGCGTTCAGGATATAGGTTGACAAAAATATGGTATTATTCAAAGATTCCATTTCCACACCTTTTTTATTCTTCAATTTTCTTTTATGATTAAAATTCTTTAATTTTCCTCTTTCTTTATTTATTAGAGTCACTTCTAATATTATAATACTTGTTTGTAAAAAGCTTACAACAATGACATTTAAACACAATTATTATTGTTAACAATTTCGTTGTAGTTCGCAATCTCTCCTACCCATATACTCCATCTCATCAACACAGTATGGAGTAGAATGAAAAGAGCTTTCTTAGACAACGACTAAACTCATAGTGAAATGACAGTAATGATTAAAGTGCAAAAACATTATTAGTAATCATTATCATTATATAGCGGCATTTTAGAAGATAGTCCAGCTAAAAAATATTTAAATATTTTTATTACTTTGTTAAATAATGATAGATAAATACTTAAAATGAAAATATTTCGCAACCTCTGTTTACTTTTTTATAAAAAGCGACAGGAAGTTTTTGTAGCCGGTTGGGATTTGCAAATCATTTTATCGGAAATTTTAAAAAAGAAATCTAAATAGTGTTCAAACAATTAAAAAAATTTAAATTTACTAAAAACAATGTATAAAATCACAAACAGGAAGATTTATTCTGGACCTAAACGTGTTTTGATGTCACATTTGTACGCATTCATCAGTTTTCAAAGATTAATGAAATAAATAAAAATAAATTCGGGCAATTATTTTAATTATTGATAAAAAGAAATTAGGATTTATTCTTACCCTGTACATAACTTACCTTTTGCTGCATTTGAGGCAGAAAGAGCGATCGCAAATAAAAATTCTACAGACTTCACTAATAGATGGCGCCACACAAATTCTATTAAACTCTTTGAGGCAGAGGGAGAAAAATCCAGAGTCAGGAGGTGAGGAACTTGCTCTTCTAGAATCATTATTGATGCTTGACTCTACAATAGAGAATGAGGTGGTGAGTCTTTTGTAGAGGAAATTTAAACAACTCCAGAGGATCTCATGATATTTATTTAAAAAAAAAAAATTAGGAACCGTTACTTTTGTATGTATATCTGTTACTTTAGTATGTATCTGCTAATTCAAAAGGTTCACTTTAACACGTGACACCTTTAAATAAGTAAGTAAAATAAAAAAGTTAATAAACTGAGTAAACAAATGAATACAATAAATAAATGTATGAATAAGAAAAAAGAGAAGAAAAAAAAGAATTTTCAAACAAGGACTGTGGCCACTAACGAATTACGGGGACAACGAAGCTAATAAACTTTATCTCTTTGCTGCCCAGAATATTATTATACCTACAATAAGAGATTTTGAAATCTAAAAAGGATTCTTTGGTTATGTAGTCTAGGAAATTAATTCAGTTGGCCATCACTTTAATTTAAGAGTCAGCGTTTTCAAAGCGGGAGTAAATAAAGTATTCATAACGAGTCAGTAATAAACTATATTTTTATTAACTTTCTTAAGAAAAGTGAAAAAGAAGAGGGAAATTTCTTTATCTATTTATTAGTTCGTGATGAATATGATGATTATATGAATCTGATGAATGATATTTATGAAAAAAAAAATAATTCTCCTACGAATAAATCGAATTGAAGGGGAAAATGAAATCTTTTTTTTTTCAATTTTTTTATGTTCTTTTATTTATTTATTCAATTTTTGTGACGTTATAATAAAGCCAAAAAATAAATTATTCAACCATTTTGTATTTTCAAAATCATGTCTGAAAATCGGTACTTTCTGAAAACTTAAATATTTTTGCTTATTTAAAAATAAAATTTATATATTTAAAACAATTGCATAGAACATCCGCTTTTGCAATAGGTTTTAAAATACTTTAAGTATTTCTTATTTGGTTTAATTATACGTTTACTGCTATTACATTTTATATTCTCTACAAACACAAAATTTTGCTATTTTGCCATATTTTGAACTAAAAATGATTATAAGTAGAAATTACGAGAATATCAGATAATATAATGGCCCTCTTCATTTTTTGGAAGGAAAAAAAAACCTATAAAAAGACCACAAGGCACAGATGGGTTAACGCCAATCCTTCACGAGCGTGTGGATTATTTATGCAATACACAATATAAATATATGTACAATAATATATGCAATACCCAATATAAATTTCCAAATAAATATATATACCTATAGGGGTGATATATTAATTTTAAAACAAGTTTGAACTAAGTAGAAATTCTCTTCTCTAGCTATTTTTAATTTCTTTGATTAATTTTCAGAGCACTTTTATTTTTTAAGCGATTTGAACAAGAAAATAAGAGTACTTTGAAATTGTATCAGGTTTAAAAGGTATCATCGAAAGAATAATAGTAATAGATATTTATTTAAACCCAGAGGAATTTTCTCCTATTACCAGCCATTTTAATTTTGAAAAAGCAATATACAATGTTAAAATAAAGAAGAAAAAAAGAATAAATAAATGGTCCCTCTTAAATATTTTTTTGATTTTAATGATCAAATCTTTGCATTCCAGAACTCAATCGATGGTTTGATTGAGTGACATCGAATACACTAATTAATTAGTGCAGATGATATTTTAAGTCACGAAATTGTACACAAAAATGTATCACATATAACGTACACATAAAGGTAGTCGCAATTTGGTAAACGTGGTAACAATAATTTGTTCAAGATAACAATAAAGAGTTTGGGCAACTTAATTTTAATTTTACTGAATAAACATATCTTTTTTTCCCGATGGTTTTGGATTTCTGACCTTTCAAAATATAAAGGTAGTCGCAATCTGGTAAACGTGGTAACAATAATTTGTTCAAGATAACAATAAAAAGTTTGGGCAACTTAATTTTAATTTTACTTATTGCGTATTTCATCATATCTCGAGGACATTTTGACCCTTTGAGGCACGCGAATACAAATTTTCATATTTTTTTAAAATTGAGGAATTAATTATGATGCATAGGATCTAAGAATGGGAAAATTACACTTGAAAAAAATTCCGATTCATTGTCCCACCAGGGGGGTGGTGGTTTCGGTGGTTAACCACTGTCCGCATAGAACAATTTCGTGTGATAAGAAAATAATGCTTTTTTAACTTGTTTTTTAACATTTTTTACAATAAATTTGAAATTTATTCGAATTAAATAATAAATTTAAATACTGAAGTCATTTATATAATTTAAAGCTCGAAAACTGGCTTTAACAAACATAATATAATATTTAATAAAATACAAAATATATATAAGTGCAAATAGCACGTATGAATTTTAAACACGAAAAATGTTCTAGGAAATAAAATATGATACAAATATAATGTATATTATGCAATATTATGAAGAAATAAATAATACAGAAATATATAATAATAAAAATAAAATATATAATAAAATGTATAATGAAACTTAATAAAAAGTAAATATCTTACTGCGGTTTTCTCTGATATATATATACNAGATAGATAGATAGATAGATAGATAGATAGATAGATAGATAGATAGATAGATAGATAGATATATATATAGATAGATAGATAGATAGATAGATAGATTTTTCCCATTATAAAGATTGATCGTAATTGAAAATCAACAATACAAAATAATAATTTTAAAAAATTGTTTAAATTCTTAATTTTTAAGACATGCGAAATGCAGAAAAATTAGTAATAATAGAAAATAAATTTAGCATGTACTCAAAATGACTGCTTACTAATTCAAAAAGAGCGCAAATGAGGAGAACAAATTTGTTTCAGATAAGAAAAAGAGGTATTTGGCTTTATTTTCAATAAAAATAGATAAAAGGCACATGGTTCTCCTGTCATAAGCCCCATGCTAACGAAAAACCCTAATAAATTTTGATCCACTTCACTATTTGAATGAGTGAAAGGGGGAAAAAGAACATGTGCTGGTAGGAATATCGTACGTTCTAGGAGCATAGTGGTCTCTCTGAAACCAAGAGAAATAGATTTAAAAATTTAATACTTCTCTTTGGAATCTTCATCGGGGAAAAATTTATATGTCAAAAGAAGCTCACAAACAACAAATTTGAGTAATATATTTCAAAATTTTTTTCTATTTTATAGGGCAAAAAAAATTTTTTTTGACGTAAAGAAAAAATGCATTCAAAACTTTTAATTTTTCACCAAGGAAGGCCAAATCTGAGTGTAGGAAAGTTAAAATATTACTTTAAAAGTATTGGTTTTAGAGATTGACCATTGTGCGTCAAGAAAAATTTTTTTAAAAAGAGTGGTTTCGCTGACACACCACTGTGCGCTTTTTTAGTGAATGGAAAAATTTTTGCACACGATTACAAAATTCATATATCCAAAGATAATTCCTTGCAAAATATAACTTTAAGTAAATATTTATTATTTTTTTATTATTATATTTAATAATAGTCGTAAAAATTTTGAATTGTAAGGCATACAATTTTTTTATACAATTTTAAAGAATACAAATTTAAATGACGAAATTTAAAGTTCGTGTGAAATTGGTCGAACTGTTCCTGAGAAATCAAATTTTGAAAAATTCTTTTTCTTTAATAATATATGACAGTAGTCAAATCTATCACGTTTCCTCAAAATAAATACTTCTAATGCGACGCAAGAGCTACCACTTTTAAATTTTTTTTCATTCGAAAAAAGGAACAACACCCCAAGAAATTATGCTAGGCACAAATGAGTTAAATACAATATACTATCTCATGCACTATAAATTTTTAAACGTGATGATAAATATGTAAAGCATAGATATTATTCACCCCACACTTCGAAAAAAAAATATTTTGGGCTCAAACTTCAAATTAATTCTTACCATTATTTTTCCATAATCTATGGTTGCGATTCTGGAATGTTTAGAAAGCGAGCGACAGGTATCAAATTTGTCGACTTAAATCTCGATCAATGCGGATTTTATTTTTACGAGTTTTGCTTCGTACCGCCGCTAACGAATTTGAAGAGCTGTTTCAAGCAATTTATAGTTTCTACTTTAGTGTTATGGGCTGACGGACTTAGAAAACGAGAAACGTTGCTATCCATTTGCCGGGATTTTTTTTTTCGGGAGAAGGAAAAATAAAATAAAAAGCGAAATAAAATAAATCAAGTGTAAAGGACGCGCGTAAATGAAGGGAAAATCTAGAAAAGTCGAGTAAATTTTGGCGAGCTGTCAGTTTTAAAATACTGAAGAAAAATAAATAATAGAAATGAAACGTTTCTAATCGGCAGTGTAACAGAAGTGATCCATCTTTTAACAGCAGCGACAATTTACGCAGCTCAGACATTCCGCAGCTCGTAAATAACTAAAACACTCTTTCTATCACTCACTTTTTCTATTAATTTTACATAGATTCGACATCATTTATTTACCATTGCCAAAAATAAAAATAAAATCACTTCGATTTTGCTACCAGAGTTATATGTTATTCAAAACTGGTCTAGATGTGAAAAACACCTGTATGAAAAACTGCTAGTATTTATTTGCTTTTACTTAGTAGATATATCTTACGATTTAAAAAAGCGCAGTGACTTTAGCTCCAAATATTAGTTAAAGACTTTAGATCCAAATATTAGTTTTTAGCTAGACTTTAGATCAAAATATTAGTTATAGATTCTAGATCCAAATATTAGTTTTTAACTAATTAAATATTAGTTATTACCCTGTAAAAAAAATTTTTTTTTCTGTTGCGTGAGATTTTTGTAACAGGTCTTAGAGAGGTGGCTCACGGGATAGAGGTTTCGCTTCTCAGTGAGGTGACCCAGGTTCAAATCGCAGCCGTGAATGGTTGGTACGAATTCTGCTTCCAGCTCACACTGACTACAGTGCTGACGTAAAATATCCTCAAGAGGTTTTCGTGGTATTCCTCTCCATAAAACGCATAGGCCGGTTAGTTTCACCAAAAAGTCCTCCACGAAGGCTAGTTTGTCCCACTGCTTGATCCAGGAGTTCCTTGTTTCTAGATTATTATTTTTTTAAATGACATTTTTAATTTATTTTTTGTCGAAATGTACAAAACGTTACATGCACAGGGGGTCGCATAAATGCTGCGACAAACTTCTGAAGAGTTTAGACACATCATCAGGATTAAAATTGCATAGGAACTTATGCCCAGAAATGTCATTACATGCCACAAGAGGAGCCTCCTAATTATGAACTGTTTCTACATGCTCTTTTGAACAAGTCAGAATGGGGAAGCACCTCAAGCCGCTTACGATAGCATTTCTGGCCATGGGTTTCTATGCAATTTTAATCCTGATGATGTGCCCTAACTCCCGCAGAAGTCTGTCGTAGCTTTTACGCAGCGCTCTGCTATATATAAGGGTTCTAACTTGTACAGTTGGACAAAATTAGACTAAAAATGTCATTTTTTTGAGGGAAAAAAATTGCAGCATTAAGGACTAAACTAATTGCAAATTTGATATCCCCACTCCAACATTACGCAATATCAAGTATTTGCATAAATGGAACAAAAAAAATTGCATCCTGTTTCTGCAAAATAAGTTCTAATAAAAACTTGTTATACCACTTTTTTCCTTTTTGATAAGAAAGGAACCGTCCTTTTAAAAAGTCGATTGGCACACATGAATTAATACATAATGGTAGTTATAAAACCACCGGTATTAGTTCTAAAATACACGACTGTGTTCTATTGGATCTTTGAAAAGGAAATCTCTGCTAGAACCTGAGGAAAGCCAGAAATTGTTAAAATGATACCTGGATTTTTGCCTTATTTCTTTCAACTTGTTTCAGATACTATTTCTCGTTTTCTTTTCAGTGTGTTTCAGGTACTTATTCCATCTTAGTCTGTAGAGTCTGGATCTTTTTAGCCTAATTAGAGTGGATTTTCTGATTTTTCATTCTCTAAAAAATTGGTGATTGCTTTTTGCTCTCAAGGAAAAAAATAAGATAAAATTATTGGTTAAAAACATGAAATAGAAATTTTGTTACTTTCGTTATGATAAAACAATTATGATTAATCATTTGCCTTCTTTTCTACCTTCTTAAGTACATTGTTATTATTACGAAATAAGCATAATATAGGTAAAGAGTTAAAATATTGTTCAAATAGTTGAATATTAAATATAAAACAAAAAATAGTACTTAATACACAAAAGAGGACGAACTTAAAATGTGTCAAAGCTCATTAACCCTTTGGCGTAGAACACCAGTGTTTCTTTAATATACTTTTTCTGCTTCTCTTATTACAACAAAAATATATTTTGGTAATCTTTAATTGTGAAAAACAGTCTAATAGTTACTTTAAAAAAATCCGTTACATTATCGGAACTATAATATATATATATATATAAATATAACTATATATATATAAACTAAAC